GGCAATATTTGGAGACATTTTCAGTTGTCACAGCCTGGTGGGGGAATTCTACTGACATCTGCTGGGTAGAGGCCAGGACTGCTGCTAATCATCCCGCAATGCACAGGACAGCCCGCCCTACAGCAAGGAATGAGTCAGCCCAAAGTGCTGACGTGCGAACCCTGGTCTGCACCTTGCCTGGCTCCTTCAGTGCAAAACCATTACTGGGAAGGGCCTTTAATTTGATCATTAGTCCCTTTGGGAAATGGAACAGTGACAGCCTCCAGCCTTTGCACCTGTCCCAAGAGCAAGACATGGGCAGTGAGGAATGGGACAGAGAACCCCAGGTGCCAAGAAACAGGAAAAGACTGGAAGGAGCTGGGGAGTAGGGGCCACCTGCAGCCCACATCAGACTCCTATCAGGGCTGGAACTGGAGACCCAGGGGTGGGCTGGAAAAGACCTAGCAGATGCTTCCACAATCCGAAATCCTAGACCTCTGGCCTTGAGAAAGCCCCACATCAGGAAGAAGGGTGATGCTGTCCCCAAACGCCTGGTTCTCCATTGCAGCCCAAATTGGAGGCTGAAGGCATGAATGAGTGAAGGAATGAATGAATAAAGAAAGAAAGCTACAGAAAGGAGCTGGGAAGGAACACTGGGAAGGAACAGTGGAAGGAACACTGGGAAGCTGTTTTGTTTTTGTTTTTGTTTTTGTTTTTTTTTTGAGATGGAGTTTTGCTTTTGTTGCAATGGCATGATCTCGGCTCACCAAAACCTCCGCCTCCTGGGTTCAAGTGATTCTCCTGCCTCAGGCTCCTGAGTAGCTGGGATTACAGGCATGTGCCACCACGCCTGGCTAATTTTATATTTTTAGTAGAGACAGGGTTTCTCCATGTTGGTCAGGCTGGTCTCGAACTCCCGACCTCAGGTGATCCACCCACCTCGGCCTCCCAAAGTGCTGGGATTACAGGCATGAGCCACCATGGCTGGCCTGGGAAGCTGAGTTTCTGTGTGATCTCTGCCACTGCCTGGCTGAATGACAAGTTACTTCCTGGGTCTAGTCTCAATTTCTCCATTCCTGAAATGAGGAAGTTGGAGATAACAGGTGCCCCTGAAACACCTGAGTGCATCGAAGTCACCCATAGGGCCTGTTAAAATAGACTGGGGCCGGGTGAGGTGGCTCATGCCTGTAGTCCCAGCATTTTGGGAGTCTGAGGCGGGAGGGGGTCTTGCTTGAGCTCAGGAGTTTGAGGTTATAGTGAGCTATGTTCATGCTACTGCACTCTGGGCTGGGTGACAGAGAGAAAACCTTGGTCCTTATAAACCCGGCCGGGCGCGGTGGCTCACGCCTGTAATCCAAGCACTTTGGAGGCCAAGGTGGGTGGATCACCTGAGGTCGGGAGTTCAAGACCAGCCTGACCAACATGGTGAAACCCTGTCTTAAAAAAAAAAAAAAGACAAAAACAAAAATAAAAAACAAAACCCCAAAACACAGATTGCTGGGCCCCACTCCCAGAGATTCTGGTTCACTAGTCTGGGGTAGGGCCCAAGAATCTGCATTTCTAACTAATTCCCAGGGGAGGCTGATGCTGTTGGTCCTTGGACTCCCTATGGGCAGCACTGGACAAGAGGATCAATAAGAAAGCTCCACAATCTCTAAGTTCCCTGGGCAGGGCTGATGGGGCCCACAGAGGAAGTCCGTTCTCTTTTGCCCTGGGAGTGCCAGGAGCATTGTAGGTGAGGGTTCAGTAGGTGGTTTTCTCAGCTTCTTGAGTAGAGCTGGCCTCACCAGCCCTTGTGCTGTGAGATGCCACCATCTACAGGAGGCATCTACCCCATGCTGGGCCCGAGTGCTGTCATATTGAGGGTTTGATTGAAGGAGGAACATTCTTGAAAGGTATTCTTTTCCTATCAGGCCACAGGGAAGCAAAGCAGTCTTTGCACTGTCTGAACCACCAGGCCCTTAAGATGATGCAAAGCCAGGCATGGTGGCTTACATCTGTAATCCCAGCACTTTGGGAGATGGAGGCGGAAGGATTACTTGAGCCCAGGAGTTCCAGACCAGCCCAGGCAACATGGGGAGACCGCCTCTCTACAGAAAATAAAAAATTAGCTGGGCATGGTGATATATGCCTGTAGTCACAGCTACTCAGGAGGCTGAGGCAGGAGGATCAGGTGAGCCCAGAAGATCTGGCTGCAATGAGCCATGATCCGTGCCACTGCATCCAGCTTGGGCAATGGAGCAAAAGAAAAAAAAAGGGGGAGGGTGGGGGTAAAAACAAACAAACAAACAAAAACCAAAACCAAACAAAAAGATGATTCAGCTTTCAATGTAAATGTTGGTGCCTGAATTAACTTGGGGAAAATGAAACGAAATGCGTCTGCAAGCATATGGAATAACATATTTTCTTTCTTTTTCTTTTTTTTTTTTGAGAAGAAGTCTCGTTCTGTCACCTAGGCTAGAGTGCAGTGGTATGATCTCAGCTCACTGCAACCTCCGCCTCCTGGGTTCAAGCAATTCTTCTGCCTCAGCTTCCCAAGTAGCTAGGACTACAGATGTGTGCTGCCACATGCAGTTAATTTTTGTATTTTTAGTAGAGGTGGGGTTTCACCATATGGGTTAGGCTAATCTTGAACTCCTGACCTTGTGATCCACCTGCCTAGGCCTCCCAAAGTGCTGAGATTACAGGCATGAGCCACCGCACCTGGCTGGGATAACATAGTTTCACCAAAACTGTTGTTAAGTTTTGCCTTTTAAACCCTTCTACACTGTTTTCTTTTTTAAATTAATTAATTTTTTATAATTGTCAAAAATTTTATACATTTAAGATGTACAATGTGATGTTTTGTAATATACATATACATTGTAGAATGGCTAAATGGACCCAATTAGCATATGCATTACCTCACATACTTATTTTTGTGGTGAGAACACTTAAAATCTACTGTACATCATTTTCAAGAATATAATCCACTGGGACAGGTGGGGTGGCTCATGCCTGTAATCCCAATACTTTGGGAGGCTAAGGCAGGCAGATTGCTTGAGGTCAGGAATTTGAGACCGGCCTGGCCAACATGGTGAAACCCCATCTCTACTAAAAAATACAAAAATTAGCCAGATGTGGTGGTGGGCACCTGTAATCCCAGCTACTCAGGAGGCTGAGACAGGAGAATTGCCTGAACCCAGGAGGCGGAGGTTGCGGTGAGCCGAGATCGCGCCATTGCACTCCAGCCTGGGTAACAAGAGCGAAACTCCGTCTCAAAAAAAAAAAAAAAAAAAAAAATTTTTTTTTTTAATTTAAAAAATTGGTTGGGAGTGGTGGCTCACGCCGGTAATCCTAGTACTTTGGGAGGCCGAGGTGGGCGGATCATGAGGTTAGAATATCGAGACCATTCTGGCCATGGTGAAACCCTGTCTCTACTAAAATTAAAAAAAAAAAAAAATTAGCCAGGTGTGGTGGTGCGCCCCTGTAGTCTCAGCTACTCAGGAGGCTGAGGCAGGGGAATCGCTTGAGTCCGGGAGACAGGGGTTGCAGTGAGCCAAGATCGTGCCATTGCACTCCAGCCTGGCAAAAGAGCAAGACTGCACCTCAAAAATAAAAATAAAAGACTGTGTCAGTTTTTGTTGTTGTTGTTGTTCTGCTGTGGCAAAATCCAGGCTCTTGAGCCATGTTAGCTTGACTCACAGTCTCTTTCCAAACCCAAGCTATCAGCCAGAGAACAAACACTGGCCTGCCTGAGTCAGTGGAAAATTCCAGATGTTTGTAGCTCATTAACTGCTAAATTGACAGCTATGGAGGCTGTGACTAATAAGTGGACCTTATTAGCTCCTTGTTTCCCGGAAAAAGCTGCCCCACAGGCATACTTTGTACAAAGGCCATACATAGCACATGATCTTTAAAACACCTTTTAAAATTCTTGTGACTATTTCCCTTCAAAAGAAATTCCCTGCTGGGCGTGGTGGCTCATGCCACCTGCACTTTGGGAGGCCAAGGTGGGTGGATCACCTGAGGTCGGCAGTTCAAGACCAGCTGACCAATATCGTGAAACACTGTTTCTACTAAATACAAAAAAATTATCTGGGCATGGTGGCACATTCCTGTAATCCCAGCTGCTCCAGAGGCTGAGGCAGGATAATCGGTTGAACCCAGGAGGCAGAGGTTGCAGTGAGCTGAGATTGTGCCGTTGCACTTCAGCGTGGGCAGCAAGAGCAAAACTCGGTCTCACCTGTGAAAATGCCAACAGAGGCTGGGTGCGGTGGCTCACGCCTGTGATCCCAGCACTATGGGAGGCCGAGGCAGACAGATCACTTGAAGTCTGGCCAACAAAGTGAAAACTCATCTCTATTAAAAATACAAAAATTAGCTAGGTGTGATGGTGGGCACTTGTAATCCCAGCTGCTCTGGAGGCTGAAGCAGGAGAATCACTTGAACCCAGGAGGCAGAGGTTGCAATGAGGAGAGATTGCACCACTATACTCCAGCTTGGGTGACAGAGCCAGACTCCGTCTCAAAACACACACACACACACAAAGAAAAAAAGGTCAGCAATAAAGCAAGCATATTTTGCAGGAATCGGGAGAATGCTGTCAAGCAAACACTGTGTGGGAGCTTCAGTGGTTTCATGTCTCCTTTGATTCTCTTTAGAGCCTCCCATTATTTCTGAGCTGGGGATGGCATGTCTCTTCCTCATGCCACGGGTGTGAATTGTTGGGGGACAGGCATTGTTATGGTTTTACATATAAGTAGATGGCTCCAATATACCATTATTTTTGGGGGGATGAGCAGTGGGTCTTCCAGATTTCCTCTTCCTTCAATGTAAGTATCAGTCTCAATCTGTTTCAGCCATTCCTCTCAAGATAGCTGACTGTCTCTCTGTTCAGCCAGCTTCTGGCCTGGGGACTGGGGCCAAGACTCTGGAGTGGGCCAAGAATTAGACAGGTGGTGTCAACAAACTAGCAAGGAACCCCACGGCCAAGCTTGGGAGTCTACCTGCATGAAAAATGCCTTTAAAAGCTAATCTAAGTGCTTGCTTTGGCAGCATATATATTAAAATTGGAAAGATACAGAGAAGATTAGCATGGCCCCTGCGCAAGACGACATACAAAGTCCTGAAGCATTCCATATTTTTTATTTATATTTAAAAAATTAAAAAAGAAAGAAAAGCTAATCTAAATAACTCTGGGTGTTCAAGAGCTAGTTTCTGACTTCTTTGTCCTATGTAATTCTCAAAGTTGGTGATAATACTTGGTATTAGGACAAATGGGGTCTCCTTCATAAATATGCCTTCAGACCTGCGGATTGTCCTTAGTAAAACTGAAAGCAGTGATTCTCAACTAGAGTGAGACACTGGAATCAGCTGGATTGGAATAGCCACACCCCTATGCTCAAAGATTCTGATTCTGGGATGGGGTCCGGGCATCAGAATCCTTTAAGGGTCTTGAAGGTAGGACCCCCGGATCAGCATCAACAAGATGCATGGGAGTTCAGCATTGACTTCCTATGCCCCATTTAGTAATTAGACCGAAATGGCTGCAATGGTTAAGAACAGATTTGACCCTTCTCAGGAACGTCTGAGCAAACAGGGAGGCAGCAGATGCTTCCCCAGGAAATGAATTCATGGTATGGTGAGGGGTGTGTGTTTCGAAATCAGTTTGGCAACAAGATCAGAGCTCTGAGGCACATTGAAACATTGGGCAGGTGTTCCCTTTCACTCTTCTGGCAGGTTCCAAGAATTTGCTTTCTTCTTCAAACTGAATTAAGCCCTGAGCTGACAGACCTGCAAACATTAAAAGTTGACTATCTGATTTCATATATGAACTTGAAGGAGAAAAAGAACCAAACCAGCTTTTGTTTTGAAAAGAACATGATAGGGTAGGGGTGGAGTTGGGGGATATTATTATAGCACCTAACATTTTTAGCATGTTCTGTTTATTTATTTTTGAGACAGGGTCTTGCTCTGTTGCTCAGGCTAGAGAATAATGGTGTGATCATGGCTCATTGCAGTCTTGACATTCTGGGCTCAAGCAATTCTCCCACCTCAGCCTTCCAAGTAGTTGGGATCACAGGGGCACACCATCCCCTACCCCTAGCTAATTTCTGTATTTTTTGTAGAGATGGGGTTTCACCATGTTGCCCAGGCTGGTCCTGAACTCCTGGGTTCAAGTGATCCTCTTGCCTTTCCCTCCCAAACTGCTGGGATTACAGGTATATTCTAAATCTACATCATAAAAGTGCTTTACATTCATTATTTAATTGGCTCCTACCATGAGCTATACAAGACAGGGAGGATTGCCATTCTGCAGATGAAAAAACTGAGATAGCTTGAAAACCAGTCGATTCTACTATAGACTTATTCTAAAGCCATGGCAAACCTGAGTGATTGCTCCAACCACCCTGGCACAGGTGGGGTTGTATGCCTCAGCCTACAACTTGTCTCTACCTGAAAGCTGGGCTTTCAAAAACAGTTTATTTATTTATTTATTTATTTTTGAGACAGAGTTTCGCTCTTGTCGCCCAAGCTGGAGTGCAATGGTGCGATCTCACCTCCCGGGTTCAAGTGATTCTCTTGCCTCGGCCTCTCAAGTAATTGGGATTATAGATGCACGCCACCATGCCAGCTAATTTTTTGTATTTTTAGTAGAAACAGGGTGTCCACCATGTTCGACAGGCTGGTCTCGAACTACTGACCTCAGGTGATCTGCCCGCCTCGGCCTCCCAAAGTGCTGGGATAAAGTGTGAGAGCCACCTCGACCGGCCCAGAAACACTTTTTTTTGGCTCCACTTCTACTTTATAGATTAGGTAGATAATGCTTTTCTAATGATTTTGTTGATATTGGTTGCCACTGATACATAGCCCAAAACTGATCCTCCAGGGAAACAATTTTAGCAAGTTGTGAGTCTCCCTCCTTTTCTACCTTATTTGTAGGGTCCAGTCGCAATGTTTGTAACCTGCACCTCCTTACTGGGGTTAGCAGGTTGATTTTGGCATTGCCTGATTTTGACTCTCAGGGGAAGAAGGGAGGGAATAAATCTTCCCAGACACCAGTTTCCCCCTCTGATAAACAATAAAGGAATCAGCTTTTGGGTTCCTTTAGGGCCAGGATGGAGCCTCCTTCACTGTTATATCCCCAGGGTATGGCATAGTGCCTGGCACAAAGTAGGCACCAGATAAATCTTTGCTAAATATTTTGTATTAAACCTCCGTGTATTTATTTTGCGTCTGGCTTCCAGTCTAGGTGAGCTATATCCTGAGAGCTGTCTGTTGGCATCAACTTTTTCCTATTTAAATTGAGAACCACTAATTGGATTGTGCTGGTGGATCTGAGTTGAAAGACCACGTGGGACTGGCAGGGGCTGTATCAGATGTCCCAAAAAAGGGGGATTATTTTAACTTCTCTTCAGTTCTGAGCTGTTGAGGGCACTTGGTAAATACTAATGAATGATGAGGCTGGAGAGGATGCTGGGAGTCTGGGATGTCGTAAAAGCTGTAACAGTGCTTTCTCTTAGGGTATCCTCACTCTGACCTTCTGGCAAAGAAACTGGTTCTGCCAGATGGTAGGACAGAGGCTTCTTGCTGCCCGATAGCCCGGCAGCCCAGCCCAGTCAACAGTCAGTCGTGTCTGCTCTGGGCAAAATACCTTTTAGGCGCTGGAAGCATGGATGCTGCAGAGAATATGGATCCTGGGCTCTTGAATCCCAGTGCCCGGCTTTCAACTTCCAACTGTCTGAGCCTCAGATTCTTCATTGGTATGGTGGGGGCCAAAACAGCTCCTACCCCACATTATTGTGAGAATTAAATGAAATAATGTGAGCAAAACAATTTAGCACAGGATAGGGGGCAGAGTAAGGATACACTATGTGTATGTGTTTATACATTTCCAATGTTATGTGTGTGTTTATGCAGATAAAATTCAGAGTGGCTGAAGAGATGAATTTTTTTTTTTTTTTTGAGACAGTGTCTTACTCTTACCTAAGAATGGCGTCATGATCACAGCTCACTGCAGCCTCTACTTCCTGGGCTCAGGTGATTCTCCCACCTTAGTCTCTCAGGTAGCTGGGACTACAGGTGTGTGCCACCACGCCCAGCTAGTTTTTTGTATGGGGTTTTGCCATGTTGCCCAGGCTGCTCTCAAACTCCTAGCTCAATGATCCTCCTGCCTTGGCCTCCCAAAGTGCTGAGATTACAGGTGAAAAAGACTAATTCAAAAAAAGAAAAGAAAAGAAAAAGACTAATTCTAGATTGCAACGGCTTTGAATAATTTTCTAAATATTTAAAGTTTAGATTTTATTCTGTATTACAATTTGGAGCCACGGAACTGGTTTTGTTTTGTTTCTTTGTTTTTGAGACGCTCTGTTGCCCAGGTTAGAGTGCAGTAGCTCAATCTCAGCTCACTGCAACCTCCGCCTCTCGGGTTCAAGCAATCCCCCTGCCTCAGCCTCCCGAGTAGCTGGGATTACAGGAGCATGCCACCATGCCCGGCTAATTTTTTTTTTTTTTTTTTTTTTGAGACGGAGTTTCGCTCTTGTTACCCAGGCTGGAGTGCAATGGCGCGAACTCCGCTCACCGCAACCTCCGCTTCCTGGGCTCAGGCAATTCTCCTGTCTCAGCCTCCTGAGTAGCTGGGATTACAGGCACACGCCACCATGCCCAGCTGATTTTTTGTATTTTTAGTAGAGACGGGTTTTCACCATGTTGACCGGGATGGTCTCGATCTCTCGACCTCGTGATCCACCCGCCTCGGCCTCCCAAAGTGCTGGGATTACAGGCTTGAGCCACCGCGCCCGGCCATAATTTTTTTTTTTTTTTTTTTGAGACAGAGTGTTGCTCTTGTTACCCAGGCTGGAGTGCAATGGCACGATCTCGACTCACCGCAACCTCCGCCTCCTGGGTTCAGGCAATTCTCCTGCCTCAGCCTCCTGAGTAGCTGGGACTACAGGCACGCGCCACCATGCCCAGCTAATTTTTTGTATTTTTAATAGAGACGGGGTTTCAGCACGTTGACCAGGATGGTCTCGATCTCTCGACCTCGTGATCCACCCGCCTCGGCTTCCCAAAGTGCTGGGATTACAGGCTTGAGCTACCGCGCCCGGCTTTTTTTTTTTTTTTTTTTTTTTTGAGACCGAGTTTCGCTCTTGTTACCCAGGCTGGAGTGCAATGGCGCGATCTCGGCTCACCGCAACCGCCGCCTCCTGGGTTCAGGCAATTCTCCTGCCTCAGCCTCCAGACTAGCTGGGATTACAGGCACGCACCACCATGCCCAGCTAATTTTTTGTATTTTTAGTAGAGACGGGGTTTCACCATGTTGACCAGGATGGTCTCGATCTCTTGACCTCGTGATCCACCCGCCTCGGCCTCCCAAAGTGCTGGGATTACAGGCTTGAACCACCGCGCCCGGCAATTTTTGTATTTTTAATAGAGACAGGGTTTCACCATGGTGGCCAGGATGGTCTCGATTTCTTGACCTTGTGATCTGCCCACCTCAGCCTCCCAAAGTGCTGGAATTTCATGTGTGAGCCACCGCACCTGTCCTGTTTGTTTTTTGAGACAGTTTTGCTCTTGTTGCCCAGGCTGGAGTGCAATGGTGCAATCTCGGCTCACTGCAACCTCTGTCTTCCGGGTTCAAGTGATTCTCCTGCCTCAGGCTCCTGAGTAGCTGGGATTACAGGCATGCGCCACCATGCCCGGCTAATTTTGTATTTTTAGTAGAGACAGTGTTTCTCCATGTTGGTCAGGCTGGTCTCAAACTCCCGACCTCAGGTGATCCGCCCGCGTTGGCCTCCCAAAGTGTTGGGATTGCAAGCGTGAGCCACCATGCCTGGCTAGGAAGTGGTTTTTTTTTGAAGTGACACCCCCATTAAAAATTCATTAAACACAGCTGGCCAGACATCTAAACAAACTTCTTGAGTGTTTGGAAACAGATTACACTTTCACTAAGACAGTTGGTTTACCACATACTTTTTTTTTTTTTTTTAAGACGGGGTTTCACCATGTTGGTCAGGCTGGTCTTGAACTCCCGACCTCAGGTGATCCGCCCGCCTGGCCTCCAAAGCGCTTGTATTACAGGCGTGAGCCACCACATACTTCCTTTTTTTTTTTTTTTTGAGACGGTGTTTCGCCCTTGTTACCCA